GTTACAATGTGATAGCTGGCAATAAAGCGGAAGAAATAATCACACGCAACGCGTTGTTTTGGGACGTCATGATAAAATGGCATAACTTTGAAAGAATATGAGTTCATCCGGTCAGTTACGTTTTCTCTAGGGAGCTGCGTGGTCTCGAGGCATGGTGTCCGCCTCGAGTGCTAGAGGTTCCGGGGTTAACCCCCGGTAAGGACTGGGATTTTTTCGCGTAGACTAGGATTTCTAGTAATTCCACCAGGTCTCTGGGTATTGAGATCGGACGCCCGTGTGCATTGTTGCACACGTAAAGAATCCCTTGGCAGTTAGAAATCGAAAAGAGTAGCCTAACGGCGCTGCCCGGGCAAAATTTGGCATTAAAAAATTCTACCCAAAGCATTTCAGGATCCTCGCCGGTGCTACAGAGGATGTGCACTGAGCTGAGCTTCTTTAAACTTGAGTTAGAAAAAGAACAGAGCACTTATGGGTTACTACCCGTGTGACACGATGTTAATTTGTTCGTTGTTCAAAACATCAAACCTCGTTTTCTCACTGAGCTGTTTTTCAGTGCTGCGTGGTCGACTAGTCAAAAGACCATGCGTACAAGGAAGAAGGGAAATTTTAAGTCAGCAGACAAAACAGAGGCCACTTAAACAACCCAGCGACGTTTTGAAGAAGACATGAAGATAACATTCACAAAATCCTCTACTTTTGAAGCTGTAATACATCCTGAATATGTCATGATGGTTTTCGAAACAGGAATCTTTAACTGTTTCCCTCTTTGATGACTTATAATTGCTTTAATTCAAGTAATCCACTTGTTAGTTTCTGTAATTGTGCATGTATGCACGTATGCACACTGAACAAGTATCACCACTTATATTTGCAATACGCTAGTGTACGTGTAAAAGGAAATTAAACCTTTCTCTACGTGTCTCAAAAGAAATGTAATGGGGAGGCTAACATAAGACCAGAACTCTAATTCTGTTTTTTGACCACCCACAATGACGGAACAAACATTTTTAAGCAAAAAGAAAGCAATATTTTAATTTTACAGTTTTATAGAATAGGACGATAAACGAGGTGGACATACGGGATTGAGATTTCTAACGAAGACCAGGTTAAAGAGTCCTTTTTTTTTTTACAATTAAACTAAAATGGTACACCCAGTCATGAACTTGATTTGTTCGTATAATCCGTTCGCGACAGGAAATGTTCGCGAGCAGAACGATTTTTTCTCACTGAAATTAGTGTAAAGCAAATAAATCCGTTCACCTGCCGCAAAAATACTTTTTTTTTTCTTTCTGACCTTTCAGGTTGATGTTTGTTAGCACTGATAAATTCACATACATGTGCGAGCAATGAACTAACCGTTACATAGTAAAGTAAGTAAAGATCCCGTTTCACGCCTTAGGCGCATCGGACATATGGGAAGAGCATCCCATATTTTTACAGACTAATCTGCACACTAGGTGGGTAATGTAAACAATTATATGGCTGAAATTATATTTCCTACGGCTTCAGGGTTTGTTAAGAAAGATTTTCCTGTCGCATGATTCTTAAGAAATTGCATTACTCTGATGAAAAGTCTGTATTATTCTTACGAGAGAGAGAGAGAGAGAGAGAGAGAGAGAGAGAGAGAGAGAGAGAGAGAGAGAGAGAGAGAGATAGAGAGAGAGAGGGAGGTGGAAGAAAAAAGAAAAGAAAGATGAAGAGACAGACTGAGACAGAGAGAAAGAAAGAGAGAGAGAGAGAGGGAGGGAGAGAGAGAAGGGGGCAGAGCGGGAGACAGAACACAAGGGAAAGACAGTGAAAAAGAGTTAGTTCGAGAGGGGTAGGGGGTAAACTACTTTCGTCCGTTACATAGGAGCATTCTATATCCTTGAAAGGCTAGTGAATGTCATCCCACGTGAAGCAGGAAGATAAATATTTTCAAATAGCCCATTTATTTATCTTCAAAATAATAATTCATTCAATACCACATGTTGCAAATTAATTAAACTGTAGTTCAGTTTGTGTATAAATCTACTCGATATCAATTGTTACCACCGATCCGCCACGCTAGCCTCACAAAAACGGGAATTCCCGTTTGACCTGAACGGCCTTATGTCTGGAGCTGGCCGTGGTTAGGAGGAAGTCGCAATGACGTGAGTCGTCATAGTTAGGAGCGGGGCGCAATAAAAAGGTTTGTCACAGTTAGGAGAGAGTCGAAATGAAAAGGTCCGTCACGATTTGAAAGCGTCACAATAGGGTGATGCTTTCATACTGAAAGGCAATACTCAAAGACAGAAAAGGAGTCAGAAGGGGGTGGTCACAGTGGGGAAAGAGGTTTCACAATGTTGAAGGCACGAAAATAAAGATCTGCGAGAAGGTTGAAGAGCAATTAAAATCTAACAGCGGGTTTTAGACAAAAATACAACGACTGCTTTTACTTTCCATCTCATTTTTTCTTATACCTGTTTTGACTGGAAGATCTCCCTGAAAGTGAATCCGAACCCACGACCTCTGTATCGACAAGCAAGCGAACTTTAAGCACGCCCTATCCAATTTGTATTTTGAACATATGGTAAGAGATGCCCCTTCTTCTTCTCGTTCATCAGCTGTAAACTCCGGCGCAAAGTGCTGGCTTATTCATATCTTATCTGACGAATTTGTATGTAGGCAGATGCACTCCAACACTGAAGGATATGCTCCTAATTAGTCGACTTTTATGACATGCTTGTTAGGCATCAATGGGTCTATACCCTCACAATGAGCCCGGAACCCACACGGGAAGGGGGGGGGGGGCTGAGGGGCTGAGAGATTAATGTCATACTTAACTTTGCTTAAGGGATAGCGACGCTTACACATTTTATGATGAGGGCCTAAACTTTAAGAGGTTAACAACAACAACAACAACAACAATGAGTAATGGCATTTAAATATCACACACACACACACACACACACACACACACACACACACACATATATATATATATATATATATATATATATATATATATATATTATATATATATAAACAATTCAATTTAAACCTCTATACACAGTGGGGGGGGGGGGGGGGTATCTTAAACCCCCTCACAAAATAGGGGGAGGGGTCAGAGCTATACCCTGCCCCGAAAAAAATCTGGGGTTGACGGTGGGAGGGGTCAATGTGCATCAGCCGTTAGGTTCCTCCACGTCTGCTTTCCTTCTAACTTTGACCCTGCAAACATACAACTGGCTGTTTCTTTCGCCTAATCAAATCAAAATGCTTGCGGCCCCCCCCCCCCCTCCTTTTAAAAAAACCCTCACATAAGAGCAGGCATTTTCAATGATTAGACATGCCCATTTGCACATGCGTGCTTGTATAACCCCTACATGCTTTACACTGAAGCATTTTTGTCAAGATATTGTACATCGGGCTCTTTTATCGGTCTTTGAATGAAAATCATTTTGTTTTACACGTAAGATACAAGTGAACGCAATGGAAGATAGCCTGACCGTCTGACAAATCTATAACGTTTGAATAGATAACATACGGAAACAGACAGCTTTGCAGAATCATGCACTTTATACAGTTCATGGCCATATCAAGCAGGCTGTGATACCAAGTAATGGTCTTCTTCCTCTTTGCTGCTGCTGCTGCTGCTTCTTCTCCTCCTCCTCCTTCTTCTTCTGCTTCTTTTTACTTCTTCTTCTTCCGCCTCCTCTTCTGCTTTTCTTCTTCTTCTTCTTCTTCTTCTTCTTCTTCTTCTTCTTCTTCTTCTTCTTCTTCTTCTTCTTCTTCTTCTTCTTCTTTTTCTTCTGCTTCCTCCTTCTCTCCTGCTTCTTCTTCTTCTTCTTTTTCTTCTTCTTCCGCCTCCTCTTGTTTTTCTTCTTCTTCTTTCTTCTTCTTTTTCTTCTTTTTTCTTTTTCTTCTTATTCTTCTTCTTCAGCGCTCGCCCTCAAAAGCGGGTTGGCACGTTGTGTCACGACTTACGGCTACGCTGCGATACCTGCGGTTTTTTTTTTTTTTTTTGGTCGAAACATCCGATTTCAGTAAACTCCTAATAAGACGTCTTTTAGGACATGCTTGAAAAAGTTTGAAACCCACTGTCTAAGGTAAACAGAGAAAAACGTTAGGATATAACTATTGGAGAAACACCCACTAGGTATTAAATGGGTTAAAAAGACTACAATTAACGACTTGAAGGGTTTCTTTTTCTTTCGTTAAAAAAAAAAAAAAAAACAGGATGCATGTAAAGAAAGAATAGTGGCGGTAGAAAAAAAGTGAATGGGGATCCTTCAGCTGTCTGACATATCAAATAAAAGCGATAATAAGGAAAATTACAAAAAACAAAGCGTCTTTCTCGACTGCATAACTTTATTCATTGCGGTTTGTTTTTTTTCTGTTCTAAACTGCAGAACGCTTACACCTTGTAGATAAGAAACAGAGTTAGCGTCTGTAGACAGGAGACGAATAACGACAACCCAGACATATTTGCGGCACACAAAGCAGAAGTGGACGAATCAGGAAGTGGCACCGCCCACACGCCTTTTATTTAAGAGGTCGGAACAAGGCAAAAGTTGTTAACTTTTCTTTCACTTCCTACGATGGTGCTTAATAGCTAAGTCCCGAAGTTTTGTCAGGGAAATATTTAAGAAAACTCCATCTATATATAATTATTTTTATTTGTTAATGTGTTTGCGTACAAGTTAAAGCATGTTATCCTAACCGAGCATTCTTATCAACGATGAAATATAAGTAAATATCAATTAAACCGACCAGAATATAAACGCAGAACAAAAAGTTGTGATGTACTTATAACAGTCGTCTGGAAATGTTATTTGAACACGATTTTTAATAGAAACTTCATTTCTTACAGTTAAAATCCAGAGACGGAACAAAGTAACAAAATAGTATAAAAAGAAGAATACAGAAACGGACCTCGATCCAACAAACAGATTTCTGTACATACTCATAAATTTACTGTGCGTAACAGGCCCAGTTTGTGATAAAATCGTAACTAAGGAAAGTTCACCAGTTTAAAAATGGCTATGGCTTTTATCGGTAACATCACCAGCGCCTTACATCAGGAAATGCAAAACGGTGCCGAAAATGCAAGCACCCATTCCAACTTCAGCCTTGTAACCAAAGCACCCCCTGCCATACAACCAACGGTCCCCGAGTACCTGAAGCAGACGGTCTTCATGTGTGACCACGTGCTCATGCCTCTGATCTGCTGTCTGGGAATTGTTGGAAACGGACTCAGTTTGTGCGTCTTGACGCGGAGGGAAATAGCAGCAGCCACAACGTGTTTCCTGACTGCCATGGCAGTGTCTGACCTGCTGCTGCTGCTTCTGCAGGTGCCCACCTTCTTCGAGCTCAACGCCAGCATAGCCAGATCTGACTCCTTTAAGATTTTCATACGGTTTTACACTGTCATACGGTAAGCGGCAATTTATATATTATTTATACTACGTATTCTTGCATCCTTAATTGAGCGCGTATCTATCTGTCTACATATTATACACACATCACACATACACACACACGCATATATATATATATATATATATATATATATATATATATATATATATATATATTTAGTGGCACCTTTCTGTCTTTCGAGGCGACAGTGTTATACTGTGCTATGTGGAGACATGGAACTCATCGCCCTTATCGATGGCGAATGTAACTAGCAAGACCTGTCCGTGTTAAGAAAAGTCCTCCACAATAATAGCATGGGATTTCAGGACCGCTGTTATCAACATTTGCATTTAGTGTATTTCTTCTTAGACGCTCAGCTCGCATCCTTTCTGCAATCATTTCTTTCTTTATATTTATTCCTTTTCTGGTGTACCCCCTCCACAGAACACGGTCTTTTAACCCATATATATAATATCTATACATCTGCCAACACACCCAACACGACTAGACAGGATTTTTTTTTTCGTACCCACAGAATGTCCCAACTAAAGTCTCCTATTGTAGATTTATGCATGTGCCAATGACTCCCTTAGCCACAACGTTCACCTGTCTTTGTGATACTGTACAGCTGACTAGTTCTACTTTTCGTTTGGTTTGATATCATGTCATGCATGATACAACTCAAGTCCTGATACACTGGCACAAATATATACAGTAAAAAGTGAGGTAAAAGACCCTTTTCCACGTAAAGGGCTAGACCTATATTTTATAGATCAATCGGCACCTAATGGGTGAAGTCAGCATTATGCCGACCGCTTTTACTTCCCAGGATGGCACCTGGTACCCACTCAAAGCTGGGTCAATCTGAAAGTCGAGTTTCGGTTTCCTCAGAATCCAAACCCCCGACCTTCCGTTTCGCAGGCAAATGGTTCCCCTCTCTGTTTATTTATTTCGCAGGCAAGCGTATTTATACAGCAGCCTCTGCTATATCCGACCCAATGCAGCGGAAGACTATGTCGGACAAGGAAAGGCCGGATAAACCGGAGTAGCCATAACATTAAAAACACCTTTTTTTTCATATTTTCCAATCTATTAGAACAAGCCAATACATTATTCTAGACGTAAATTTGCCTAGAAAAACCACACAACAGTCAGGGTCTGTTAGGGGTTGGTTCTGCAACGCCCTGTAAAAGATACGCAACTAATCTTTTAACCAGACTTCATGGAAATGAATTCTATGGCAATATCACTAAAGCCAAGCTTTGTTCAGCTCAGTCGTCCCCCATGTGGATTGCAATTTTTCGTTTTTTTTAAGCCCCACACTGGCTTTTGCTGGGAGCTCTGAATATAGCCAAGCCATAAATATGGCCTAACGGCTGAAAGGGATTTCTGGGACCTCTTTACGGGTGATCCTCATTCGTATGGTGGCACTTTGTGCCACAGGGTGTTTATCGTTTGTGTGATATCCTGGTGGGGTACAACAAGGGAGAGAAAGAGAAAGATGCCGAGCTTTGGGGAAAACTTAACAAAGTCTAACGAATCAAGAGGTTATGAAAATACACGTGTGTTGGAAACAGCAGACACTATGAAATTCCTAATGCAGGGTGTATTTTTAGTGACTGTATTTTTTTTAAAAATATTATTATTATTGAAAATATATCCGTTCCTATTTTTGAAATCACTGTCTGTGGAGTTAATACAATATATACTGCTATAGTAATGCTGGAGAATGCTCAGAAAGTATGTACACTGGCTATCCACCTTCCACCAAACATGTCTACGTAGAATTATCAATTTTTTGGGGGGCCAGATACAATCACAAACACTAAACTATTTCAAGTTACAAACCAAGAAAATCTAGACAGTATGATAACCAAGAGAAGATGGAAATGGCTTGGTCACGTTATGAAAATGAATCCCCATATGCCTGCCAAAATAGCTCTCACATGGATGCCTGGGGGAAAGAGAAAGAAGATGCGGCAAAAAACAACACAAAGACAAACGATGGAGAGTGACATGAGTGCGGCATCTCTGACAAGGCAAACTGCACTGAAGATGGCACAAGACAGGAAAGCATGGAAAGTCCTCTCTGAAGCAGCATGTGCCACTGGGCATAAAGACAATTGACGATTGATGATACTGCTATAGTGTGTCTCATTTTAGGTAGTTTCCCACAGTTCAGCTCTATTTGCAATCGATTCTACTGGTTAAACTGCTAACAGTATTAGGATGAGGCACATGAGTATCAGGAAATTATACACAAATGTAATTACAGTGCGCAAATAATTTTCAAAAAGTCTACAGTCATCAAACATACACAATGCGTATAAGGTCTCTATGCGGAAGACAAATGGAGGCTAATAAACACATAGAGAAGATAAGCAATGCTAGAGATAAAAAAGGTGGTGAGAATATGGCAATGAGCATCCCGCACGGACGACCCAAGGCCAGTTAGTTGTGAATTGTTTTTTTTTTTTTTTTTCTCTTTGTGGAATAAAAAGCAGAAAAATGATAAGCAAGGACAGCTAAGCCACAGACGCCGACATTTACCATTTAGACCAGTGTTCTCCAAACAGTTTTAGGTCACGCTGCCCCCTCCCTCTCTCCAAGTATGGGGCAAAACCCCCACACCCTCTTTAGTATATTGTATGACACCTCCCCCTACCCATGTATAGGACAAGACCGCCACGCCCACTTGCGTATACTGTATGACCCCCCCCCCCCCCCCCTTCCTCTCCCAAACACAATAACATGTGATTAAAATGAAGAGGACAGCAAATTCTGCAACAAGCAAAACAGAAAGTATGGAGATGTGTTTTCGTCAGAATGTGTTCTGAATCTATAATTAAATGCTCGTGCTATCACATTACAAACTGCTCATGAAAACAACATGTTCTTGTCGTTTTTTTAATAAACAGTTTCAAAAATATTGTATTTATTATACCGAAACTGAAACAGAATGTTAGTATAACGGATTACGACAAGCACTAATGAACTCATTTTCAGAATTGCTGGATGGACACCCCCCCCCCCCCCCCCCCCCCCGGTCTATGAAATCACCTTGCGCGCCCTGAGGTTGCAGACTACTGATTCAGACAGTACTTTGTAGAGTCTAAGCTCATTTTTAGGATATATATATATATACATATATATATATATATATATATATATATATATATATATATATATATATATATATATATATATATATATATATATATATAAATCTCCACATAGTCATCATCACACTTGCATTAAGCCTTAATCAGTCTTCTTCTTTCGACTTTTATCTCCCAATGCCTAAGCCAAGTCACATCAAGCCCTTTTGTACTCTTCTTCATGAATAACATCATGTCGGTGTCTGTGGCTTAGGGGTTGCACTTCCGAGATACATTGTTATATTCCAACTGAGGACGATTTGGTAGCGGACCGCTTTACATTGATTTCGACAACGGTATGGAGAGCCGACCATTCATATAAACTAATGAACGTAAAATTACAACCTTAAAAAAAAAAAGTGGGTGTGGTTTTTGCAACGTCCTGTAAAGGATATATAACTAACACGGACTGCTGAATATAGCAGCTTCCTGCAGGGTATAAGATAACCAGGCTCACCAGGCCGATCCTTCCTGGTCGTCACTAACAACAAGTGTGGTAGGTTACAATGTAGCTATTGTTTGTTTTTCTTTGTGGGTCCCAGTAAGGCATGGCTACGTTAAGACAAGGTGACGCAGTAAAATACAGACCTTGGTAATAGATTACTCAACCCCATACTGGCGCTGGTAAGACAGGGCCCTGGTAATTTTATGAGTTCCGGTTTGATTCGGCCCTGCTAAGACAAGACACAGCCCTGTTAAGACAACACACGGTCCCGATAACACAAGACACGGTCCCGCTAAGACATGGTCCTGCTAAGACAAGGCCCCACTAACACAAGACACGGCCCCACTAAGACAACACAAGACCCTGATAAGAAACGAGATCCGGTAAGAGACGGGAGACGAAAGCCATATGGCTTGTTTGTTCCTTGCAGAGCGGTTGCTCGACAGCTGACAGCTTCGCAATAACCAAGAGACCCTACAGCTGAAATGACAAGGAACACTTACACAAGCCCGAAATGGAATTCAGAACCATCAGGGCACGAGGCAAGTGGTTTAACTACTTCGACATGGAGACCACCAATCAAGTTTATATGAAGTAACAATTACTACGTTATTATCCAGGGAAAGATTTTTTGTTCAAAGTATTTAAAGGATGATTAGCTTAACATGTATAATATATATTCTCAACGGCTACAACATGACATATATTACATTTTATGTGATATCCATTTCAGATACGTCATGAACAATGTCTTCATCACATGCACTGGATGGCTGACTGTTGCCGTCACTACTGAACGGTTCATCTCCTTGCGCTTCATGTTCCACCCTCGTCTTGTGTGCACAATCCCCCGCGCCAGGCTGGCCATCATCGTCATCTTCATCCTATCCTTCACCTTCCACTTTTCTAAATTTTTTGAGTATGTGCCGAACCCAGACCTCAAGTCCCCAGCAGCGCTGCTGACCACTGGCCTCGTCCACACACCGACCTACGAGACATATGTTCACATAGCTAACATAGCTCTGGCTGCCATCATCCCCGTCTTCCTGCTGATTGTTGCCAACTCTTTTTTAATCTACTTCCTGGCAACGCATCGACGACGCATGCTCCGCCATAAAGCTTCTGCTTCCGCCAACATGTCTTCTGTGGACATGCTACATATCAGCGCCATAGTTGTGGCTACAGTACTAGTCTTCATCGCCTGTCACTCGGTTGGTGTGCTCTTAGCTTTGACAATCGCATCCAAAGGGCGTCGCTGGGTCTTCATCCGACCTCCTTACATTGCTCTGAAACACATCAACACTGTGCTTGTGATGATCAACTCCAGCGTCAACTTTCTATTATACTGTGCCATCAGCCGCAAATTTCGGAAGACCTTCATCAATATGTTCAGCAAACGACTCCATCGCAGAGACACCTGGACATCAGCAATGCCGCTCAGCGAGAACAGCACGGGGAATACAGGCACACTACCACGAGCTACCAATGGCAAAGTCTATACGTCCTCATCGATGTCGTCGAATGGATCAGCGCACAGTGGTTACGGTCCTACCAGGGCTGATGTCTGAGTTCCTTTTAATAAGTTGTTGATATGAAATAGAGAAACAACTAGCGAGCAATCCGTCATAGACTAGTGCATATATGGATAAGATGATCCGCTATGTATCCCCACATAATCGCATGTGACAGTATGGATACAAGGAACTAGCAAAAAAGAAAGATCCACAGGATCTTACAACATAATTTTTTTAATAAACATTTTACAAGCATAGTAAATTAGCTAAAAGAAAATATGTACGTAAACGAAATTGTATTACAGTTGTAGAAATAGTAGGGTGAAAACAATAGGTGCAGGTTCCTGGAGCTTTTTTTTTTTTTTTTCATAGTATGAAAAGTTGCCAGTATATGCTGTTTCAGATCACAAATGATCGCCCACGCCCTTTGGCTGGACACTTAATATTTAATGTAAAAGTAAGAAACAGAGCAGTACTTTGAAAAGCAAGAAATAAGAAAGAAATGCCGAACTAGAATCGAAGTTATATAATTAAGTTAGGCACAAAGAAACAAATGACTAGAATGAAGATCGTGCTTTGGGCACAGGCAGAAGGCAAATGGGAGAGTATGACAACTTATAAGACAAAATACATAAAGACAAACACGGGATTTGGGTAAAAAGAATACAGCACAGTGGAAAAGGCAGAGAATGTCAGACTGTTGCAGCAGACCAGGTGTCTGAAGAAGTCAACCAATTATCTTGGAAGTAAACAGTAAAGATACAGTTATACACGACAGAAATGAGGTCATATGTAGAACAAAAAGCAAACATCAGATATGCATAGGGTTCTGATCACACTGTGCAGGGACTGGCCTGTGGGCTCTGCACAAGTAGCAGTTCCACGAATGATTCATGACAATTCTCGTCCAGATGATGTGATAATCTATACAACAGATGGCTCTGCATTGAGAGGCAGGTGAAGCTCATGGCGGTTCTAAGCAAAACTGAATGGACGTCGTGTAGTGTAACAAAGCCTAGCATTTAATACCACAACATCTAGTTAGAGAATGGAGGTGATGGGCAGTCACTGCAGCTTTTTGCTGGCTTCAGAATCAGCTGTACACACATGTCGTAATTGTAACTGACTCACAGAGCATGTGGAGAAAGGTGGAGTCCAGTATGCTCCGTGAAGAGTGGCAAGCATCGCTTCAGAGGTTCTGGGTAGTTAGCCTTATTTGGATATTTTCCCTGGATATTTTGGTGTATTAAGGAATGGACAGGCAGATAGACTGGTTGGTTCTGTTCAACTTGGTGGTGAACTGGTGCACAACAAGCTAGATGTTGTTTGGGGGCGAGCGAACGATGCGGAAGCACAGAAAGATCATCACTGTCTACAGAGAATGGTACTGCAAGGAGTGACCAGGGGGATCTGGTCGACAATCAGCACTCACGAGAAATGTGAAACGGATATACCATCAGATGCTGTTGTTAAAACTGGAACTCTGTGCTTGCTGCTGAAGATGGGGACACATCGCATATGGAAATGTCCAGGGTGCTGTGATGTTGATTCTTAATTAAGTATTATGTAGAGCATCATGGAATTGTGATGCTGGGAAAACCTCTCAAAGTAAAGTGGTCTGCTGCCAAATCTCCCACAGCTAGAAACTCACTTTTGAGATTACATGCCTGTGGAAATCATCCAATTTAAACATCCCAGATCGTGTGAGAATTGATGCTATCAGATCGGATGTCTGAGACAAGTTCATGTGCCAAACACATTGACAAACACAACATCAAACTGCTCCAGGATCTGGTTAGAATGAAACAACATCACTTACCAACACAGACACTACCCAGACCTAAGAAGATCTTATATGAGAGCAAGAAGATGTCAAGGAGAATTGTGCATTAATCATACAAAAAAACAAATGAACATACAGGTAATGACAATAGCTAGTGCCATCCATCGACAACTGCACCACCAATTATTCCTCCCCAAGATGCTTAACGGGATACTATGGTGATGACCAATCTCAATCCTGAGGCAGCAAACACAAAACAGCATCTAGCTAATGAAATCAAATCAACCATGCGGAGTAAAAGATAGCATCGAGATTAAGGATCCATGTACAATGGTTGATGAATTAATAGACTATCACTAAGCCTTCTTGATGCAAGGAAAAGGAAAGGTGAAGAAAGGGCACAAAACTGGTCTAACGAGTCTGAAATATGCAGGTATTCTGTTTTAATGACACGGTGTAAGTCTTGGGTACATTCATAACCAATTGCAATCCAAAGAGAATGGTGAAGCCAGGAGTGACCAGGTCTGACCAACGCTCAACACTCAGAGAAGGGCCGAGAGACGGACACACAATCAGATCGTCACTGGTACAATCAGAATTAAAACTCTGCTTTTCCTGCTGAAGACAGGGTTGAAGGACTTATGGGAATATCTCGAGTGCCATTATGTCAGTTCTTAACTCATAACTCATTCCATGACCTCAAGAAAAAAGTTGGAGATGTGGAGAGACAGATGAATATGTTGTGTTTCACGCACAACAAAAGCAAAAAATTTCAGATTTAGCAGACTATGGAAAGGAAAACTCAGGTAATGGGTATAGATTAAAAAAAAAAAGAAAAGACAACTGAAGTATTCTGGCCACAGTAAAAGACAAACTCTTTTTTTTTAAAGCGCACTCTAAGAGAAGGGGGTACGGGTGAAAGGCGGACAAGCAAAGAGGTAGACAGCGATACAAGTGACAGAATAACAGCAAGAAATAGGCGAACTGCAGTCAATTAGTGTGTGCAACAAGGCAGATGGTACTGGAGATGGCAACTCTTATTGTGGAGATAATACCTGATTGATGTATGTAGATTAGACATGAACCTATTGGCCCCTTTATGGGGTCATCGCCTGGCTGAATGATTCAATTCATTGTTTGCTAACATTCCTCTTCTTCTTCTTTGTCCTCTTCTTTTTTCTCCTCTTGTTGCTTCTTCTTCTCCTCCTCTTTTTTATTTTTCTTCTTGACTTCGCCTTTTACCGCTTTGAATCTCGAAAGAGATATAATGTTCTGCCTCTAGCTCTACTGGCAGCTTCAACCATAGATGCATCGTGCAGTTGTAAAGTTTCTCTGATGTCATCTTGTTTCTGGTTTTCCTACTGTGCTACATCTTCTCATCTTCTGCTAACACCCTTAAACTTGTCTTTAAGGAATCAACTTCACTGCACTGTGTTTATTCCACATAGTTCGGTCTATCCGCACGGCGGCACATAAAACACAAACGTCATATCACCAGCAACAATCTTCCAGACATAGCCATTAACATACAACCTAACAAACATAATTTAAAACAGTCATAGTGATGCAAGTGGCTTTACCAGTTATAACAGTGGTTCTCAAACATCCTAATGCCGCGACCCTCTAATTCATTTCCCAACGTTGTGGTGACCCCCCAAACATACAATTATTTTTACTGCTACTTTATAACTTCAATAAATAAATGTTTTCCAGTAGTCTTAGGCTACCCTTTTTAAAGTGTCGTTCGACCCCCAAAAGGGTCGCAACCCACAGGTTAAGAACCGCTGAGTCAGAGGAACTACTAATTCAATCATAATGCAGATAAAGTTTGTAGTAAGACAGCACTATATAGCACTCTACATTCACACGGCAAAGCAAGCTACACCAAAGTAATGATAGCTGTAGCATAAGGTGCCACCACCAGACAACTATTGCTGCACATGATTGAGCAACGTATCTCAGATGTGTTCCTGTACAACTGGCATAGAAAATGTGGCTCTCTGTGTCACTGAATTCTCTCCAGTGTCACTGAATTCTCCCAGGGTGTCACTGAATTCTCCATGTGTGGTTTTCAGTGCCCTATTTTTATACTGGGGGGGGGGGGGGGGGGGATAGACCCACTGCCTCCTTACAAGCATGTAATGAAAAGTGGCAGGTGTTTCCCTCAAAGCCAGAGCGCAAATGTCTGAGAGATTAAGAACTAACAGTCTGCATACAAACAAGCCATGTCTGTAAAACAGCAGCACATGAAAAACTCGAGACCATGGTATAAGACCAAAGTCCAGGCTGCAGTCCTGGAGGGGGGGGGTGTTATATGTATATGATGCAATCATTGTTGGACGCGGTGATGTACGGGGTCAACAAGTGAAAAAAAAAACCAGTAGAAACTTTGTTCTGTATGTTATTTCTATGTTATGTGTTTAAACCTATAGCTCCAGCAACAACCAATGGTGAAACATAAGCATTCGCGAAATAAAAGAGAGAACCTCCAAAGCGCAAGGCAAACAGTTTAACTACTTTGTTACCAAGACCACACAGAGCATATGAAAATAAAGGCAACACATGATTAGAAACTGCTCACGGGCGTACACAGTCGCACAAACCACAGACAAATATACACTTTGCATACATACAAAAACAGACAAATCAGACGATGGAAGATAAATGTTTTCCTGTAAAGCTTTCAGGCCAAACAAACACTGACAATTCCCATATTGCAATGTTTCCAATTTGGCAGATGTCTGCAATACGGTGCATGTTCAAACAACAGTTCCGAACAAAAGATTAAACAGCAGATGATGCATGTGGCAATGTAACGACAGAAATGTCTGGCTTGGTGCAGCTGCCCTTTAGCAGAATTGCACCGATGATCCAAAGGCGAGCAAAATTAGACCAACATGTTCTTATTTTTATTTTATTCTTTGACATGAGCCAAATGTAACTTTTTGACATTTTTCTTTGAAGTCGTGTATATAGTCCCACCATGGGAAAACGGTGTACAATGAAATTTCCAGCTATGGATTTGTTGTATTATCTGATATTAAACTATAGGATCATTCACCTTAACATTGTTGTTATTTTTATGTTGTGTTCTTGTTTCCCTCTGGTGACCACGACAGACAGACCACATCATGAACTTTCTTTCTTTGTTCTGTCTCACTGATATCAGATTGTAGAGTCGTGGTTTTCCGTATTTATCTTGGGCTTCTCGGGTGACTTAGGTGATAATTTTTTTCGTCTTTTTGCAGGTTTCAGCTACATTTTTTATCCG